ATCCATTTCTTGTAGTACATCATGGGACACAGAGGTCCCACCTCACTTTTTGGAATGTCATTGCTTGCTACAAAAACTGACGTACTTCCTGTATAGGAGGGGTTATATATGGGAGGACCTCCTCTCTGATTGGTTGGCCAGTATCCATTCAGCTATAGGTGGTCTATAACCCACCTAGTCATGAATAGCCTGTTCTGTGTCCCGTGATGTACTGCAAGAAATGGATTTTACAGGTAAGTATATAGAAAAAAATCCAATTTTTTCCACAGGAGCGATAGTATCAGAGTATCATTAGTAATGGACGTTAATCCATGGAATGAGCATGGTGGCAAAAAATAAAATAAGAATAGGATTCAAAATATATAATATGTTGCCAGGGGTTTGGTAGCACCACAGCATGATGAGTGATAAATCGTGAAGCAGGCAGGGTAAGTAACCTGTTTCCTCAAAGTCCACAAAATTAACCACCAATGTACAAAGAAGTTTTCTCAAGAAGTTGGACTTAAATACAATTATCTTAATATAGAACATTTATTGAAATCTTTCTAAAATGAAAGAGAGTTTGGAATTAACATCTGAGATCCAAACTAGTTTCATGTACTATGACCATTTTACACAGTAAGGAAGAAACCTGCAGTGAAATAATAGGGTGATTAGGAAAGGGCATAGGGGATTCCATTAAAGTCTGGAGCACCTCTGATAATGTTTATAGCTCAGGGCAACTCATCAATCATATGCTGTATATTCACCCAATCCAACATAGACCTCATTCCAAAACATTCCGTATTTCTTTCTTGGTCAGATTTGGAAGGTATTTTTCTATATTTATGAAAACTATAATGTTTCCTTAAAAGTTATCTTTTATATTTAGACTTATCTAAGTAAACTACTGCACCCCTCATTCACAAATTCAAATTACTAAGTTCCATTTTGAAACCTGATTTACTAAGAGTTAGCGAAGAACTAGTGTTCCTTTGGACTAATATTGTCCCTTAAAAACATTTTGTTCTTTAGATAAACAAATCATTGCATTTTCCATAGGAGCATGGAATGTTTCAATATATTTTTCCGAAAGATATAATAAAAAAAAAACTGAGGGTGGCTTAAAGGTGGTAAGCACAACATTTAAATCCTCCTAACCATCAAATGAGCCATGAGCACATAAATTGATAAACACAGACATGGTTGAGCTTTGTAAAAAAACAAAACAAAATCCACCTCTAACTGAAACTGATTCATTACTATTAATATTCCAGTTAATAATCTATGCTGCCTTTAAAGTCTTTGGCTCTGTCCATATTAGTGTGATGTTTATTTTGCTCTTATTGTCTACTCATGATTTATGAGCTGATCCTAATCTTTACAACTCTGCCCTCCTGTTCTCTTGTCTCTTGTCTGCTAGTCATGTGTTTCTTCTATGCAATCCTAATTGATTATTGGCAATACCCCCACCCAACTCAGTATAAAGTTAGGCCTTTTTTAGGGGAGGCACAGGCAGGGGTAGCATTGGCAACTCATCTTGGATAAAGTATTAATCTTGGATTAAGTATTGAATATTGCACTTCAGCTCTGCACTTCAGCGAATACAGAAAGCAAGAATCCACAGCAGACAATTGCAAAATACTAACCAGATTACAGGTGACCTGTTTTCCCCATCCAGCTTTCTTATCTCTTACCCTGTCTACTTTTTAATCTCACCACTCTGTAACATACATTCCCAACTCCTTCTCACAGTTGTATCCTCTCTCCTCAAACTCTCATTCCTTCACCCCTCCTCTTCGCCCCACAGCTTATATATGTCACCCTCACTCCTCTCTTTACTTTATTACTGCACTCATCAACTCCTGCTAATTCTTAACCCACATACTAATAAAACCTCCAGGACACTGGGACATGCCCCTCCACATATGTCTTACTCCCATGTTACCCCTCTCATCCTCCTGCTTCTCCTAACATCTGGAAACATCTTCCCAAATCGTGGGCAGCAATAGTTATACTTTGAACAATACCCCATATCCTCTGATAGTGGCCGCAATCCACACAATCTGGTTTCTATTCCCCCTCTTCCTAGAACCAGCCCCACTTTTCCTGTGCCCTTTGGAATGCCGCTCTGCCTGTAACAAACTCACCTCTCTCCATGACCTTTTATCACAAATTCTTTAATCTAGTGGCAATTACTGAAACCTGGCTTCATGAATATGACTTCCCCTCTCCTGCTGCCCTCTCCCATGGTGGCTTCCTCTAGACTCACTCTCCCAGGCCTAGTGGATGGAAGGGAGGTGGAGCTGGAATCCTCCTATTCCCTCAAAGCACTTTTCAGGTCCTTCCTTCACCCCCCTCTCATTCCCTCTCCTCATTTGAAGCTCACTGTATTCGTCTATTCTCTCCAGTCTCTGAGAATTGCTGTGATCTATCATCCTCCTAGACTGGTATCAAGCTTCTTTGGCGACTTCTCTGCCTGGCTACCCTACTTTCTCTCTTCTGAAACTCCCACAATCATTCTTGGTGACTTCAACATCCCTCCCTGTTAATCGTAACACTCCTGCTACTTCTAAACTTCTGAGCCTAACCTCCTCTTTTGACCTAAAACAATGGACACACACTTCTACACACTCTAATGGCAACTACCTTGACCTTGTATTCTTCTACCTATGCATTCCTTGCAACTTCTCCAACATTACTTTTCCTCTCTCTGATCACTCTCTCTCTCTCTCTCTCTCTCTGGCTTCCTCCTCCTTTCCTTCTAGCTAACAGTTACCCGTAATAACCTTGCCATCTTAGCTCTTCTCTTCATTTTTCTGCAACAGATTGTCTCAATGACAAAATCTCAGCCCTGTCCTGCCCCAGCCTGGCCACTTCTGTCTACAACAGTTCACTGTCATCCACTGTGGTGGACACATTGGTCCCTCTCACTACAGACAGATCCAGGCCCCGACTGCTACAACCCTGGCAAACAGACAATAACACATGCCTCAAAAAACGCAGCCATGCTTTTGAGCATCTGTGGTGTAAGACTGAGGCCCAGCAAGACTTCAACCAATATAAATCTGCCCTCCAAAAATACAATTCCTACCTCCACACTGCCAAACAGACCTATTTTATCACTCTCGTTAACACCCTCTCCCACAGTCCCTGTCAACTCTTTTCTACCTTTAACTCTCTACTTCGTCCTTCATTACCTCCATCCACTAACTCACTCACTGCCCAGGAGATCGCTAATCACTTCCAAAATAATATAATTTGTGACAAGATCTTCACCGTACAGATATCTTCCTCAACTTACACTCCTTGTCCACCTGCCCAATCAATCCTTCCACTGTTTAATCCAGCTACTATAGAGGAAGTCACAAAATTTTTTTCTAAAGCCCACCTAACCACCTGTCCCCTGGACCCTGTTCCCTCGCAAATACTGCAGTTACCCCCCCTGGCTCTATCCTACACTCTTTAACTCATATCTTCAACTTCTTAAACGTCTAGTCTACAACCAGCTGAGCTGCCACCTCATTGAGCATGACCTTCTTGATCCCCTTCAGTCTGGATTTTGCCCACAACACTCCATAGAAACTACTCTCCTAAAACTCACAAACAATTTACTAACAGCTAAATTCAACGGTCACTATTCCATACTATTACTCTTGGACCTCGCCGCTTCCTTTGACACAGTTGTCCACCCCCTCCTCCTCAAGAAGCCTTATTTCTTTGGCCTCCATGACTGTACTCTCCATTGATTCGCATCTTACCTATCTCACCACAACTTCTGTGTCACTTACAACTCCACTTCCTCCTCTCCTATTCCTCTTACCTTCAGGGTCCTCCAAGGTTCTGTCCTTTGACCTATCCTATTCTTGATTTCCACCTCTTCCCTGGGTCAGCTGATAGCTTCCCATGGTTTCCATGCTGATGACACACAAATCTATCTCTCTACCCTTCAGCTCACCCAGTCAATTTCCTTACGTATCACTGATTTACTAACAGACATGTCAGATTGGTTTTACACCACTTCCTCAAACTTAATCTATCCAAAACTGAGCTCATAATATTTCCTCCCCCACATGCCCCTTCCCCTGATTTGTCATTCAAGATCAATGGCACAACTGTCAACCCGTCCCCACATGCCAGGGTGCTAGGTGTAACCCTGGATTCTGAACTGTCCTTTTAGGTTCACATCCAATCCTTCTCCAAATAATGCCACCTCAACCTCCACAACATCTTGATAATATGCCCATTCATAACCAACGACACTACAAAGCTTCTAATTAATTTCCTGGTTATCTCTCGCCTCGACTACTGCAACTGCCTCCTCACTGGCTTACCTTTACATAGGCAATACCCCTTCAGTCCATTATGAATGCTGACTGCCAGGCTCATCCATCTTGCCAACTGTTCAGTGCCTGCCACCCCTCTCTGCCAATCCCTCCACTGGCTTTCACTCACCCAAAAAATAAAATTAGAGATACTAACAACAACTTACAAAGCCATCCACAACTTGGCCCCAGCTACATCACTAACCTGGTCTCAAAATACCAACCATACCACTCTCTTTGGTCCACCCAAGATCTCTTGCTCTCTAGTTCCCATGTCACCTCCTCCCATGCTCACTTCCAAGACTTCTCCCGAGCTTCGCCCACCCTATGGAATTCCCTACCCCAATCTGGCTGACTATGTCTTAATCTATCCACCTTTAGATGATCCATGAAAACCCTTTTTGTTAACCCCTTGGCGCCGGCGCCTCCCAGCCCTTTAAAGGTTTCAGAAGCTAGGAGGCGGGGATTTAGGGTTATGTGACCGTCGTGATTCGCCGTCATGGTGGTCACATGATCGGGAAAGGTCCCGATCGAAAGAGGAGATCGGGACGTTTCCGTGAGTACAGGACATGTGTGCTGGGAGTGGGCAGGGCACGTGCTCTCAGCACATACCATATTTTTCGCTCCATAAGACGCACCTGACCATAAGATGCACCTAGGTTTTAGAGGCAGAAAACTAGAAAAAAAATATTCTGAACCAATGAACTGCAGACATAGTACAGGAAATGACCAGAGACTGCAGACATAGTACAGTAGTACAGGAGATGACCAGAGACTGCGGACATAGTACAGGAGATGACCAGAGACTGCGGACATAGTACAGGAGATGACCAGAGACTGCGGACATAGTACAGTAGATGACCGGAGACTGCGGACAGTACAGGAGATGACCAGAGACTGCAGACATACTAAAGGAGATGACCAGAGACTGCGGACAGTACAGGAGATGACCAGACACTGCAGACATACTACAGGAGATGACCAGAGACTGCAGACATACTACAGGAGATGACCAGAGACTGCAGACATAGTACAGGAGATGACCAGAGACTGCAGACATAGTACAGGAGATGACCAGAGACTGCAGACATACAGTACAGGAGATGACCAGAGACTGCAGACACAGTACAGGAGATGACCAGAGACTGCAGACATAGTACAGGAGATGACCAGAGACTGCGGACACAGTACAGGAGATGACCAGAGACTGCGGACACAGTACAGGAGATGACCAGAGACTGCAGACATACTACAGGAGATGACCAGAGACTGCAGACATAGTACAGGAGATGACCAGAGACTGCAGACACAGTACAGGAGATGACCAGAGACTGCAGACACAGTACAGGAGATGACCAGAGACTGGAGACATAGTACAGGAGATGACCAGAGACTGCGGACACAGTACAGGAGATGACCAGAGACTGCGGACACAGTACAGGAGATGACCAGTGACTGCGGACACAGTACAGGGGATGACCAGAGACTGCGGACATACTACATCATATAAAGTCCCAACAGGGCCCCTCCACGCAGAATATAAAATGATCTGACACCATACATCAAGGAAAAGGACTACAACTCCCAGCATTTGTCATTTCTAACTTATAGAAGGCAGGGGGCACACTGAGCTCCAAGGACAGGCCACACCAGCAGATAGGACCGGACTGCAGAGCAGGGAACGCACTATGGACACATGCCAGGAGCGGGGAGGAGCTGTAAGGACAGGCCACAGCTGCACATCGGACTGCAGAGCAGGGAGCGCACTATGGACACATGCCAGGAAAGGGGAGGAGCTGTAAGGACAGGCCACACCTGCAGACCGTACCAGACTGCAGAGCAGGGAGCACAGTACATAGAAATGCCAGGAGCAGGGAGGAGCTCCGAGGACAGGCCACGCCTGCAGGGTGGACCAGACTGCAGAGCAAGCTGACTGGGTTCGGTGAAGGAACTGCCTGCTATGAAGAGCCGCGGGGACAGCCGCTGAGAGAGGGGATAAGGTAGGATGAACTTCGGTGACAGCCTGCGGTGGGAGGGGACAGGCTGCTGTGGGATGGGACAGCCGCTGGCCCTAACACGGCGGCGGTGACAGGTGGAGGACTGGTCAGTATTCGCTCCATAAGATGCACAGACATTTTCCCCCATATTTTTGGGGGAAAAAGTGCGTCTTACGGAGCGAAAAATACGGTATGTTTTTCTTAATTGCACGCAAATGTACGGCCGCTCGACGTCAAGGCCCAGACGCTGGGAGGCCCCACATTTGCGTGTGGCCGGTGCCAAGTGGTTAAAGAAACCTATCCTGCTTCTAACTAATGCACTATGTTTTTATTTTCTTCATCAGCTCATCCCACACAACTGCTACCTTTTGTATCACTTGACCCTTCCTCTTAGATTGTAAACTCATTACCAGATTAGATTTTTGGGTTTTTTGTTGGAATCAGGGGTGGGGATAACTTTTGAATCTATTATTATTACAAATCTATTTGTTTAGTTATCATTATGATCAGAACTACATTAAAAAATATGGAAATAAGTTGGAATTCAATCACAAATGCATAAAAGCTATAACTAGTCCTCCTCCCAGGTTTATAACTAGTTTTGGCTCTGGTGGGGACACCATTAAATATACCATATAGATCATAATGACATACAACCACCCTTGAGCCCAAATTAATCCATTTGCCGTCTAAAAAACAACTGTAACATATAAGAGAAGTACATCTTTAGCATTTCTTAAAATGTCCAAGCGTTTTTTAAAATGTCCATAAATCATCAGTGCCAAAGTCCTTTTTAAGTGTAGGTATGTACAAGTGTGGACACTTTATTAATAAGTGTTTCAACTTTGTCCATGTGTCAAGTAATTTCAGTTCAACAGTTAATGCTGACATTTCTTGTTCATAGTTTTTATTGGAAAAAAGATAACAGAATTACATGAAGCTCATTATAATGTGATTGCAGGTCTCAGTTGGACCGAATAAGCAAAGAGACAACAAAAGAAAGTCAGAAGGGATGCAACTCTTAGTGGTAACGAACAGGTTGTAGTTTGTACAGTACAAAATGCTGACATTTCTAAACTGAATAGTAGTTTTTTCAAACACTAAAGTATTTTCCATTTAATATGTTAGCTTTTAAGTTTGTTCACATATTTAATATATTTTCTTTGGAACATTGAATGTCAATTTTTAGGTAAAGCAGCAGTTACCTTTGGTGTGGGTTTAATCTTGCAAGCATAGAACTGTGTTTGTCTAGATTCTCTATACCGTGACATGGAATCCAGAACACTTAAAGCCTATCTACGGGCAAAACCCCCCTCATCCTTGAGCTCCTTCCCACCCTGGTTTTTGCCTGTATCCTGCTCTGACCTCTAGCCTCTGTCCTTCTGGATATTGTCCTAGCTTGTGAGATAAGTCCATGTATATCTAGTGGACCCTGTTCCTAAACCCATATGGTTTGTGTGTTATAAGCTTTTCAGCCACACTGTATCTGGGAATTATATTTTAAACCTAAAACTTAAAAAAAAAAACAGCTGACCTGAGGTTAAAGCAGAACTCCTGGCAAAAACTTCTTTACATGTCCTTGTTGCTTGTTTCCTACCTTCACTGAATATTTCATAAATCTTCTGGTTCACTCTCTTCTCGTTCACTCTGGTCCTCTTTGGTTTCATGTTTATAAGACCAGTGGCTGCTATGTCTCCTATTCTCCCAGCCACTGGTCTTGGTACATCCTTTCTGTAGTTCTTTAATTCCCACTTGCAGTGGTGGGTGGGCCTAGACTCTCAGACACATTCAACATATACAGGCCTAGTGAAACCACCCACATTCACTACAATTCCCTGTGGTTGATGGGAACTGTAGTTTCCGTTTACTGCAAAGAGAGAGGAGAGGACATGATGTAATCCCTGCTGTTACACTTCCTCCTTGGCAGAGCAGATGATTTTATCATTTGAATTACAGAGATGACTTCCTGAAAATTTGATTAGACTTTTCTCCTAAATGGTAAGGATTTTCAAAATTGTATTAACTATTGAGAGTTTTGTGTAGAAGGGTGTACTAATGTGTGATTTTTTGTGATTTTTTGCTTCTTCTTTAAGACATACAAAATTGATATATTAAAAGCAATATCTAAAAATGATAATTTTGCCTGAGAAGTACCCTGAAAATGTACCTTTGTACTTAATTATTCCTGAAAAATGGCATTGCACTTCCTGTTCCTAGGTGTTTGTGTGCCTCATGCCTCAACGCTTTATATCTGTATTGTGAGATCCTCTCAGGCACTGCCCTCTTTGGTTGCTAGTCTCATAAGATTTGGAGTGAGATTTTATGCCTCTACTGTGCTATATACTGTTCTTGTAAGGGCTTACTGGAGAGGAGCTTTTCTTGATGACCTGCAGTGCAGTACAAGAATCTCCCTGAATCTGCTTCTTGTTCCAAAAATGTATTAAAGGAAACACAACTGACAAAGCATAGGTCCACCATAGTGGACCAGAAAACAAGCAAATTGTTCCATTGGTAGCCAGGAAAAAGTACAATTGAGGTACATTCAGGTGAAGCATATGTACATAATGCTGACAAAGATGTCTCAAGGCCTCAGAGTATTTTGCACACACCTTTCCAAAACCAGGGGTACAAATATAGTCTTCGGAGGATTGAAATGGTTAGGAAGAGGGTACTGTTTGCCTATTGTATTATTTGGACTGTGCAAATTATCGGTTCATTAAATTAGACCTTCACAAGTTTGAAGGAATAAAATACCTGACATGTCACAATATACAGCAACAGTATCATTTTTCAAAAAAGCTCTATCTTTTATCATTACAACACCATCTCAATGTTGAGATGCTGCTTTATTCTGTTGCCAGCAAGAGGAAGCTTTTCCTTAGTCCCCCCCCCACAATAATTAGACTTCAACATTGTAACTTTGTAGCAAATCACAAGGTGAGAGGATGGGGCTGATTTGTTTGGATGTTTGTGAATGCAGCCTAAAACGGCACAAGCACCACAATGATTGGCTCATCCCTGAGCTAGCATCTCAGTCTAGAGAGAAGATGCTGACCCTGAATGATCCTAGAACAAAGATGACTTTTTGAGAGAGAAGCAGAAGTAGGCTTTGTGAGGGGGAATACTGATCTCTGTGAGTACTTGGAAGTGTTAATGCTGATTCACACATGTGCGGTGCGGATTGAAGCTCAAGTTTCACAGCTAATTGATACAGTAGTTGTTCAGTGGTTCAGGTCAGGTTTACATTAGGTTCAGGACAGATGTAGATCAGGTTCAGGTCAGGATTTTATCCTGTTCGCAACTGTCATTTGCGGTTTAGAAACGGTTCCCATAGAATTCAATAGCCTGTAATCCGCATCTGAACTGGACCACACTACTTATAAAATGGTACATGACTCTTTTTCAATCTGCACTGAATCCTAACTACCATTGCCCCACAAGTGCATCGGATATATGTGAACAGGCACCATAGGAAGCAATGTTATTTCACATGTCATGTGGATTGGATGTGGTTCAAACCGCATCCAATCTGTACATATGTGAATCGGCATTTACACTAAGGCTTTGTTCACATGGGAGGCAGCCTCTGCCACCTCTCTGAAATGCTATCTGTTGTGGATTGCTTTACAGAAGATAGTTGACAGGTGGCTGGGAGACAATATGTTGCCTCACCATTTGTATTACCCCGGAAAAGACTGCACCACTGTTGCAGAGTGGTTGCGGCAATGGACTGTAAATGTGACAAGTGTGTGTCATTTTACTGCAGCATTTGTATAGTTCTTAGCAGCTGCATTTTCTTCTTTAGGTTGGCAGTCAAAGGGTGGCAAACCCAGGTCTTATCTGCCTGTTTTTACCACTCCCCTGTGGCCCATGTTAGCAAGGCCTTACACATGCCTGAACCCTGAACAAATATTTATGATGCCAGGTCCACTTTATTAAATGGATTATTTATTAAGACTGTTTCACTAATTAAATAGTGGGGGATATATGGTGGTTGATTTACTAAAGCTGGAGAGTGCAAAATCTGGTGCAGCTCTGCATATAAACCAATCAGCTTCCAGGTTTTATTGTCAAATTTTAAGTGAACAAGTTGAAGTTAGAAGCTGATTGGCTACCATGCACAGCTACACCAGGTTTCACACTCTCCAGTTTTAAGAAATCATCCCCATGCCTGATGGTAGTGTTGCCAAATATATTTATAATTTTAACAGATTAAGTATTTTTATTTATGTATATCCCAGGATTCATACAGAGCAGCTATTTAACCAATTCAATACCGGGCAATTTTACACCTTCCTGCCCAGGCCATTTTTCACGTTTCAGCGCTCTCACACTTTGAATGATAATTGCGCGGTCATACAACATTGTACCCAAACTAAAATTTTATCATTTTCT